AGGTCAGGAATAAACAAACTTCTAGTTTTATTTTACCGCCACATATTGCAGCTTCGTGGTGAGAACGAAAACTGTAACGAGCAGTGGCACCGAAGGTAAAGGAGGTGGATCGGTTGACATAAACGTGAGATAAGTTATACAAAATGACTGTGAGGGACTAGAGAAAATAAATTTATGAAATGGATACGGGAATATTTGTTGGAAAAGTTTTTAACTTTTAGCTTGCCTTTTGCTCCGTCTTAACTTTTCTTTAGCTCCATCTCCCTTTACCCTCATCTCTCTTCCGTTTTCCGCCCTCTCTCCTCCGTCTTCCGTTCTCCATCCTCCCTCCCCCTCTCCTCCTCCTAACTCCATCGCTCCTCCCTCCTCCTCCTCCATCCTCCCTCCCCCTCCTCCCTCTACTCTCCCCTCCTCCCTTTACTCGTCTCCTTGCTACCACCCTGCCTCCTCCCCCTCCTCCTCCCTCCTGTCTCCTCCCTCCTCCTCCTCCCTCCTCCTCCTCCTCCCTCCTCCCTTCCTCCTCCTGCCCTCCTCCTCTCCCCACTGCTCCTCCCTCCTGCCCTCCTCCCTCCTCCCTCCTCCCTCTCCTCCTCCTCCTCCCTCCTCCCTCCTCCCTCCTCCCTTCCTCCCTCCTCCTCTCCCTCCGTCCCCTCCTCTCCTCCCTCCTCCCTCCTGCCTCCTCCCTCCTCCCTCTTCCCCCTTCCCTCTTCCTCTCCCCTCCTCTTCCCTCTTTCCCCCTTCCCCTTCACCCCTTCCCCTTCCCCTTCCCCCTTCCCTTCCCCCTTCCCCCTTCCCCCTTCCCGCCTTCCCTTCCCCCTTCCCTCGTCACTCGTCATCCTGTCACTCGCTCACTCGTCCTCTACTCGTCACTTCGTCACTCGTCACTCGTCACTCGTCACTCGTCACTCGTAATCGTACTCGTCACTCGGTCACTTCGTCATGCGTCACTCGTCACTGCGTCACTCGTCACTCGTCACTCGTACTCGTCACTCGTCACTCGTCACTCGTCCATCGTCACTCGTCACTCGTCACTCGTCCTCGTCACTCGTCACACTCGTCACTTCGTCACTCGTCCTTCGTCAGCTCGTCACTCGTCACTCCGTCCTCGTCACGCGTCACTTCGTCAACTCGTCACTCGCACTCGCATCGTCACTCGTCACTCGTCACTCGTCACGTTCGTCACTCGTCACTCGTACCCCACTTCGTCACTCGTCACTCACGTCACTCGTCCTCGGCACTCGTCACTCGTCACTCGTCACTCGTCACTCGTCACTCGTCACTCGTTCGTCACTTCGTCACTCGTCACTCGTCACTCGTCACTCGTCACTCGTCATCGTCACTCGCACTCGTCACTCGTCACTCGTCACTCGTCTCGCCTCGTCTCGTCCTCGTCCCTCGTCCTCGTCCCTCGTCCTCGTCCCTCGTCCTCGTCCCTCGTCCCTCGTCTCGTCCGTCCTCGTCCCTCGTCCCTCGTCCCTCGTCCCTCGTCCTCGTCTCGTTGTCCTCGTCCTGTCCTTCGTCCGTCCCTCGTCCCTCGTCCCTCGTCCCTGTCCTCGTCCTGTCCTCGCCCTCCTCTCCTCCCATCTCCGTCCACCCACCTCGTCCACCATCTCGCCACCCGAGGGCCTTCTCCTCTGCTCGTTTCGCAGCCTCTGGTGGTCCGCGTGCGTCCCTCGACCCGTCCGCGCTCGTCCGCGCAGCCGCCGCCTCCTCGACCGCCGCTCGCGCGCGCGCGCATGTAACTGCTCGCACAATGACGGCGGCCGCAGTCGCGCGCAGCAACGCGGTCTTTGATGTTGGACTTTTAATTACCGCTAACATGCGGGAGAATCGAATTTTCAAACGCATTACCCCCACCAGCCCCCCTCCCCCTCACGCACGCACACGCACCGATGCGTCGGCACGTGGCGCGTCGGTCGCAGCCCTGGAGGCAGCAGGGGGAGGGGGTTCGGAGCGCCAATTTTTTTTTTTCTTCGGAAAATTTAGCGTTATTGGTTTACGACTGTGTCGCTTATCGATGGTTCCTCTTGTAACGCCCGAGTTTCTAGTGGAATTCGCCTTAAGCTCTGGTTGCGCCGAGAGCATACAGAGCTAATTGAAACGGTTTTTGTGTTTTGCGTGGTGTTTGTGGTAATGAGATCGTGGTTTATCTTGCTCGATGGTTTAGTAAGCTGGACAGATTGTTCAATTGAAGATTTTGTTACACGCAAATTGTTGCATTTAGTTTAGATTTCTGACATGATTTTGTACTCAATTTTGTTTGTTTCATTTATTTGCAAATAGTAATATAAAATTTTCTTTATGATTATTAACATATATACTGAACCGAATAGAATTGTTAGAACGATAACAATCTTTATCTTTTTTGAGTGAAATGCAGTGTTTTAGCATTATATCTCATTTCATATCTTGTTAAAAATTTATGTTATAGTTTACATTCAAATTGTCTTTAATCAATGTTATTTTAATTCTACATATTATTGTAATTAACGAACGTGGAAAATGTACTTTCAAAAAATGTATGGATTTCTGTGTTTGGTAATGAGAGGATTAAAAGCAAGTTTTGTGTTTTTTCCTGAAAAGGAGAACTGATTTTACAGTCGTGTTTTGAAATAATATATTGTTGTAGGTTTTCTAGCAAATATTTGAGCAGAAATTTCAAATTTTTCATGATTACAGAGAGTGAAATCAAATAGAGATGACTAAATTATTAAATTTAGTGCCTCTAGGATCCATTTTCTTTGTTTAGAATCATTACATTTGTGCAAGCCTATTATAAAAATAATCCAGAATACTTTATTTTTTAATAAAATGACTGAATAGTTTCTTCGTAGCCATGTAATGTGCATCATCACATTAACATACCTAAATTAGAATTTATAAAATCTTATATTTGAGATTAGAGATATCATGTGAAATATTCCAGTCTTGCTATCCTCACTGAGCGAACTTTCCTCCACTTCGATATCCATTTTTGTCTCTAAACAAGAACAACAGGAGAACAAGATCGTCGCGGGTTGTTATCGAAGTTACATGCATCCATTTCGCAGATCCCTCATTCCCCCCCCCCAAATTCGAGTACAAGAGCAGCAGTTGGTTGGGGTCGAAGCGACGATCACACGGTTGTCAGCCATCAGCTGTAGTGTATGGGAATTCGAATGGCGCTGATCGCGGACATGCTCCACGCTCGCTAACTGCTCATCACAGTCATTGAAAGCGGTGACATTTCGGCCGTCGCTCCCTCGCTGGAGTGTCAACGTCATGCGCCAACCGGGAACATGGGTTCCGCTCGCCCCCTCGCCTCGCCGTCCCTCGCCTTCTTCCCCCTCGCTACTGCACCCCCAAAGCCATTCCATCCTCTCCTTCTGCCTTTCCCTCGTTCCCTCATCATTTTGTTTCCTCGTTCTATCTTCCCCGTTCCCTCGCCTTGTTGCAATATCGTCGCCTTATTCTCTCATCGCTTCGTTTACCTTGCCATTCCCTGGCATCCACGGACTCTCGTCTAGTGTCCTTGTCTTCTCGTCCTTGCGTCTCCTTGTTCGCTCGCTTCTTCGACCCGCGGTCTCCTAGACTTCTCATTCACTCGGTCTCACACCTCGTTCCCTTGTTACTCCTTATCACCCTTATTTCTGCAACTTCCCGTCTCTTCGTCTCCTTGTCGCATACTCTGCCCCTCAACCTTTCTCTAATTCCCCTTCCTCCTTCCCTCATTCCCTTTTTTCTTTGTGAAATATCTCCCCACCCTCAAGGTACTCTCTTCCCCTAGTCTTCTTGTCTACTTGACATCTCACCTTCTTCTAGACCCCTCGTTCCCTCGACTCCTCAATCCCTCGTTCTTTCATCTTCCGTTTCCTTGTCTCCGCGACCCCTCCTCTCCTGCTCGACCCTCATTTTCTTCAATGTATCTTTCATGTCGTCGAGACATTATCTTCAAGTTGTGTTTTTCAATTCTAATAACTGCATAATCGTGTTCCTTATTATTTCAATGCATTAATTGTTAAACTGTTGTGAGTTTAGTATTATGTGTATTTTTTGTGTTCCTGTGAATATTACATATTTTAATTCCTTCGGGAAACAAGTTAACTTGTTTCACATAAAAGAGTTTTCTGGGATGGGCCTAATTTTCTGATCTGCCTGGCATCCATCATCGCACTGAATTCGTCGTGCTTATACGACTACATAAATTTTCAAGATGATATAACCTTCGCCATATTCTAATTTGAATAAAATATTTAATTACCTAGCACACCTATTAATTCCCCGTTTCGTCATCCTGAACATCATTCAGGAGGAAGTGAGGCAACGATCATCCATACATGAAAAGGTGCAACAACTGAAAAAGATCAGAAAAAAAGACAAAAGGAATGTAGATCGGAAAGAAGAGAAGGTATGAGACAAATAAGTAGAAGTGGAGGAAAAAGTAGGAGATTCCGATCAACACGAAAGATGAACGTAAAAAAATAGGAATGTAGTAATACAGAACAAGAAAGTGAAAGTGAAGAACAGGAAGATGCAGAAGAAAAAAGCAAAGATCAGCTTCACTTCTGCTTAATTTCGTGCCCTTTATCCCCGATTGAAATGACTATTACATATTTCCAGTAATAAATCGAATACCAATCAGCGAAATCGACTACATCACACTCGGCTCCAAACTCCTCCCCCAAATCATCGCTCCACTCACACTCATCTCAGGCATCAAACCCGCGCACCTCCACTCTCCTGCGGTCACTTCCACCCCAACCCCCTCGCCCCTTCCCACCCCACCTTTCCCCCGTCCCTGGACGGTCGAAGCCGTCACGTTACCGCCCGCGGCCTGCGTATCTCCAAATCATGAAGCGGCGGCCGGACGGTGGCGGTGCCTGCTAACGTAGGGCGGCGGTGATGGGCGCGCGGGCTATAAAACGCCCGCAAGCGGTGGTTCCCCCGCCGCACGCCACCGCCCGCCGCCACTCTCCGCGCCGCTGCCCCGTCGTCGCGCCCCGCGAAGCACCGGCTCGTAAATGCACTGGGGTTCGCCACCTTCCGCCGTGTCGCTCCGCCTCCGCCTCCGCTTCCGCGCCGCCGCCGCCGCCGCGCCGCGCCACCTCACCTGCGGGCGGTACGAACCCCTTCCAGGACGTTCCTCCTCCCTGCCCACCGGGTGCCAGGAAATTTCAGCTCCTTCTATTCTTCTGGGTCAGTTCTGAGATGCGGATGGTTGTTTTGAAGGCCTGAATGTAGGTGAGCATCACCGAAAATCTTAGTGAAATATCTTATTTCGGCAGCCATGCGTATGTGTTAACGACTGCTAATGTCTTTGAAGAGTCAGTTTAGTGCGTGCAGTTTGAGGTTAAGAATAGTTATTACTAGTGGTTTAGCTAGTTCGTCAGTAAGAATGTATCCGATTTCGTCACTAAAAATGAAGTTGTAAGAATTAGAACAAATCGTGGGTGAACATTAAAATGAATTTTTCAGTTGAGAAATTCAAAAACAAAGAGACGTGCGTGTCGAAAGTAAACAGTCTGCCCACAAACAACGAATATCAATTCGTATCATTAAGTTGCTCATCGGCGTATGTGGCTCGAGGCATCAACTGATGTCCCTGCACTGCCTCTGACTAGGTTAGGATTTGAGTCTCAGCTATAGGCTAAATCGAATTCACTCGCTGCCTGGATGAGAACTCTAGCGGTCGGCTGCTCTGATCGGCAGTTTAACGTGGTTTCTCCGATCCACAGCTGGCGAATGCCGGGGCAGTACCGTAACAAACGGGTCACGGACTGCGCGCGATCTTTCCTTCCTCTTCCTTCCCCGTCCTTGTCTCTTCATCACCCCTTACAGATATTTACACTTACACACACTACACTATCACACATGTCGGGAGACCTGTGGGGAGCTTAGAGCTTGTCCCGAGTGGGGCGGTGCCCCGCTGGCTGGAGGTACCTGGTTGAGGGAAAAGCCCCAAGTCGATATTAAAGTCAGCACTGTATCTCGCTTAGTGGGAGACTATCACCGCCGCCTCCCACAATAAAAAGATTCACTATGCTTACGGAATAATAATACAGTAGTTGACGCGACCGGAAACACAATATAATTAAGCAATTAGCTGTTCAATTCACTTTCGAGTGTTTAACAACTTTTAATTAAAAGGAAAATAAGTAAACAATAATTTTGTTCGTAGAAATTTTGAAGTGGAGTTTTTCCTCGAATTCTAATGTCATTACGCGTATATTCTGCTGTTGCCGGAATGACAAAATAATACAGAGTACCACGACCGCAATACACGAAACCCAACGTTAGAGAAATTAATGCGGATAATTTTTGCGTGTTACTCACTGCCCGCGATTTCCTTCCCCATTTAGTTTGGCATGAATGAGTGTTAAATAAACGCTCAGGTAACTGAACCAAATATATGTTGGTGTGCATTACCAGATTTTTATCGGTGATTTGTGGGTGAATCCGGGAAGTAAGAATTTGGTTAATAAAGAGCAGAAGCATGCAGCTCGACAAGAGAAATTTCCCTATTCTTTGTTTTGAATGATATGAATGTGTTAAATTATCCCTCTTTTGTCTCCCAGGCATGACAGTGATGTTTAACTTTCAGAATTAAGTTATAAAATTTTTGAGTTTGTATCTCACAGACATTTCCATGAGCATTATCACAATTGACATGAATTTCAGGAAGTCTTAACTTTATGAACGTTTATCTCATTTTTCTCCTTTCCGATTCGCCGCCAACTACACAACATTTTCAAACCCCGTCAGATTTGTCTTTCGTTATTAAATACTTAATGTATGTTCCAAAAGTACACATTTGAATTTGGAAAACTTTCCTGCGTAGGTAGATTTACATTTGGAATCCACTGGCTTTGGCCCAAGGATTTTGACCCAAGTAAGATTGGGCAGTGATAAGACGATTTTAATATGTTGCTGATCAGATGATTTTTAAAAGTACGCCATTCACTTGAAACGACAGTTTCACAGGAATAGTATACAAAGCCAATTGAAGAAAATGATTACTTATATTCTTACCAATTAATAAGTAAATATGATATATTTTACAAATGTATTGTGCTTTAAATGTCAGGGACAAAAAATCCTCTTACACTAAAAGCACATTTTCACATGATTATCAAATATGTCAATTACTTTTTAATCCCTCAAGTCACTTTAGACCCTCAAGTCAGATTTTTTATATTTCAAATATTTCACACAGCGGTATACTTTGAGGAGCTTTATCACTCTGAAAATCCAATGATTGTGTGTTTTAATTTGTCTGTGTTAAAGAACGCGCCTAAATCTAAACAAAGTGAAACTGATATGAATGATGTGTAAGTAGAAATATAAAATATCGCCCTACAATTTCATTCTTAATGAAGTGTATAATCCCAAAGATGACTCAGCATCCATCGAAGAAACCACACGCACTAGCTCAACATTCAATAATATTTTTAAGCAACAAAATCTTTTCTGGATGTCAACACAAAAGTGTTCAATCGCTGCCACATCTGGAACATTTGAGTCATCGGACCGTGAAATCAAACGAAAGAGTTTGGGTACATGTATCATTCCGTCAACCCATCTTGCACACCATGCATTGAGAGATAGACCAAATGTGAGACTATGACTGCAAAGGAAGACGATAAGTGATGGAAGGAGACAAAAACATGTAACAAAACCAGCACCATCCAGTTGGGGTCCGCTCCACTGAACTTCGTGGCGCACCCACATTATTCTCGTACTGCAACAAACATGCGATTGAAACGTCTTCAGAACAAACAAAGAGCATGTTACAATGGTACAGTTTCCGTCTTTTGACACCTGCGATTGAAACTCACAAGGGCCAATCATATTCTTATTCCAACCAATCCCTACCTTCCAGTACTTGTCGTTCGACATCCCAAATCTTCTAACCCAAACCCCACCAGAAACCTCTGACTTGATTTCTCTATTTAGTAGTTTTCCCGGAATGTGCCGGCGTCTCCCTAATATGAGTCACAAACCCAACTAAATCTGATCACATTAGATATCACTTGTCTCTCGACTTCCCCTACATTCTCACCCCAAACCCACGGGCCCCTTCTGCGTTCACCTCTTCCCACCCACAGCCCAAAGACCTACCGTTTCCCCTCGTTGAGAACCACCCTGTGTTTTAAATTTTGAGCCCGTGTGCGCGGGCGTGCGGGCGGGTGCAGTCAGATAGGCGGCCGTCTACTGCCGCCGCCGCCCCCTCCCCCACGTGCCCACGTGCGTGTGCACGTGCGCGGCGTCGGAGGTGGCGCGCCCCTGTGTCAGCCGGCGGCGGTGGCGGTGGCGGGGGCGAGCGCGATCCTCGATTATCTCGAACGACCCTGGTCGGAACGTGCTCTACAAATTCCAAATTCGTATAATTGGAGGAACGATTAAGATAAATACGGAACAATTGTGATTTGTTCGTTTGTTTGGATTTTTGTTTAAAAAAAAGGTATAAATTCAGATATGCTGGTAATAATCGTAACACGCGGTAGCAATTTGGGTAGTTTATTTCATTTTCTTTAAATTGTATCATTGGATGTGGTAATTTACTTTTGGAGTTGAACTTTTGAAGGGGAAACGTAAATGTAAAAGAGGGTAAGCGTAAAATAACTCTACCAAAATTAAACATTTGTTTCCACTGCTGCACATTAAAGGATATGAATTTCATGAATATTACATATACACCTTTCAAACTTTTTTGAGCACTCTTTTTACTTGTTACCCTTACGTTTACATAGTGAAGAGAAAGTATTGTAATAAGATTGCAGAAATAAGCAATTTTGAACAGACAAACTCTTATTGTTGGACAT